AAAAACATGCATAGGTGTTTCCATGTTAACCTCTGTAGTGTTCAGAGTCTAGATTGGGGCCACTTGTCTGAGGGAACTTCTCTGACCCCAAGCCACTCACCAGCCGCAAAGTGCTAGGCCTGCCAGCACCACCTTCAAAGGCCCCTGAGGGGTGCTGCACCCTGTGCCTGTCTGTCTACCGCTGTGAAGGGGACACTCTGCAAGCCCCTAAGCGTCCATTTTCTTCCCTGGAAAATGGGAGTTGAACAGCACTCTCAGCATTTGTAACTAGCAAGTGGACATTTTTAATACGCTTTCGTGCAAAGGTCAGCTATATAGCTCATGATTTCCCAGAAACTACTTTGCCTGTTGGCTGGAGTTTTGAGCAGACAGAAGCAGAATTAGTTGGCAGTGGGGTCCAGCCTTCACACTAGTCAAGGCGGAACCTGTGTCACCTGGCAGAAGGAGGCATCTCCATGGGGCTTGGACAGCACTGCTCCCCATGCTGGGGTGTTGGTGCCGAGAGGCCTCCAAGTATGGGAACTCTGAATCAATTTGGAGCAGCACCAAGAATGTTAGTTCCTACAGGTCAGCTTTTATTTTCTTTCTTCCACCATTAAAGAAGCTGCCAGTCACTTCAGGCTTGATTTGCAGGTGGAACGGCAAAGGATGGCACGTTCTCCTTTGTAGCCTTGCTGTGTAGGTCCTTAGCTGGGGCCGGCAGTTGCCTGGCTCTATCCTCAGTGCCTCTGTTCCTCAACTGAGATGCAGGGGGAGCTGCACCCGTGGGGTGTCTGCTGAGAGAGAGAGAGGGAGGGAGGGAAGGAGAGAGGGAGGAAAGAGAGAAGAGAGAGAGATATTACACTCATAAGTGAGAGTTGCAGCCCACATCCCACTGTGCCCGTGTCACTACTCTGCATTGACAGCAGAGCTAGAAACAAGACCCAGCGTATCTTTTATTTATTTGGTTATTTATTTATTTGGTACAGGTTCTCACTATACAGCTTGGACTTGTCGTGATCCTCCTGTCTCAGCTTCAGCTTACGGGCGTGTGTCACCATGCCCAGTTTTGGTGGCCCACACAGCATGTGGTACTGGGTTCTTGCACTTGCCAGGCAGGTGCTTAGACCACCAAGCTATCTCCCCAGCCCTCTTTCTTTCTTTTCTTTTTCTTTTTCTTTCTTTTTTTGGTCCTTTTGAGACAGGTCTTACTATGTAGTTCAAGCTAGCCTTGAGCTCACTTTGTAGCCCAGGCTGGTCTTGAACGTCAGCAGTCCTCTGGTCTCAGCCTCCCAAGTGCTGGGATTACAAGCGTGTGCTGCCATACCCAGCTTAGGCAGCCTTTTTGGTGGTGTCCCCATGCCAGCCTGAGAGCTGCTGTGAAGAGGAGGAGTCCCTCAGAACAGTGGGACAGCAGGCCCTGAGGCACATGTGGGTGTGGTGTGTGCGGGCTGAACCTCGAGCGCCCATCCTTTCACCCCAACTCATGCCATGTCCCTAAGCCACGAACTCCGTTACAGCTCTGTCTCGGTCCGAGTCCCTGACAGCTCTCTTGGTTAAGACACAGATTTCTGGCTTTTGGTCATGGCCCTCCCTTCTTCAAACCTAGCCACTGACATGGCCGCAAGTAGCTGCTACAGACATGCCCAGCAGTTTCGGCCCATGCGCCTCTGCTTCATCCCCTGCACCATGAATCCTGGCTTCTCTTCCATCCCACAGTTCATTATTCAGACAAAGTCTGCTGTCCCAGCCAGGGGCCACCTTCTGACCCCTCTGCCCCCTCCCACATCTGTGCACTTCGCTGCTGTGCTTGTGCTCTACAGAACATTGTGTCACTAGGTCAGAGCAGACTCTGATCATGGGCCATGTTACAGCTTTCTTTTCTTTTTTTTTTAATTTGTATTTATTTATTTGTGTGTGTGTGTGTGTGTGTGTGTGTGTGGCCAGCTCAGCCCACCAGGGGGCGGAGCTGGCTGGCATGTGGTGCTGGGGGATGGAACCGCGGTCCCTGTGCTTTGCTAAGCTTGTTCTAAGTAGGTGCTTTAGACCACTGAGCCATCTCACCAGCCCGACAGCTTTCTTTTCTTTGTTTTGCAAAGGCAGTATCTGCACTATCAGTTTGTGCAAACTTTGATACTCTTGAAGTAGCTAACAAAGTGGTAAGAAGTGACTACTAAATTCTTAGTCCAGGAATTGAAAAGACATCTTCATTTCTCTAACAGCACAGTGTCTGGTAGTCACAGCTCACCCTGTTTATTTTCCGTTATCAGAAATGCTGCCGTTTTTATGTTCCCTGTAATAGAAATGCATAACTGACTGTTAAATAGTTTTAAACACACCTTAAGCTTATGTTACAGAGTAAAATGCTGTTCAGTTGCATTGCTCTTATATTACTAACCTAAGTTTTTACCTTTTTTTCAGCCATCGAAGATCAGGATTAACTTAGAAGATAACGTACAGTATGTATCCATGAGAAGTAAGTTGATTCCTGACTGGGTTTTAGTTTTTGTAGTTTGAAGGGAATATCGTTAAAATTATTTATTTGAAGTATATATATCAAGTATGAAAAGAACACATCTTTATTCCTTCATCAGTTAGATGTGCTTTTTTTTATGCAGTGGAATATTACTCAGCCATAAAGACATTTCTAGATAGGTACACCTTGAGATCATACTCTTCAATGAAATAAACAGGACACACATACAAATACCTCTCTTTTCTTTGGTGAGAATCTGAGTGTAAATAAGGACCAAAATGTATAATAGATATTGGTAGAGTTTGTTATAAAAGATACTATAAAATAGAAAATGTTCCAGTAAAATAGGAAGGGGACTAGGAAGAAGGGAGGGAAAAGGAGAAAACAAGAATAGAAGGAAAAGATGGAAACAAAGCTTTGTAAAGAAGAGAGGGAGGAGGAGTTGAGGGAAGGAGAGGGAATAAGCAAAAAAGAGTCAAGCTGTGTCCTGTACAGACCAGGCAAGAGGGCACACACCTGTTATACTAACCCTCAGGAGGCTGAGGCGGGGGGATTGCTGCTAGTTTGAGGCCAGCTTGATCTGCATAGTGAGACCTGTCTCAAAAAAGATACATCACAAACACGTACAAATTCCCTATGATAAATGTGATCACTGTGTATACCTAACATATACCAGTAAACTTAGTAATTAAAAAACATATACACAAAGTGATGAGAATCAGCATAGAGTGAACATTTGTTCTTTGTTGTACTGAACTATAAAGTCTGAACTTTTAGCAGTGAGTCCTGGGGTTGGGTGACGTGCATGAGTGGCACTTTCTCCTCCCTTGTTTTGGAAACAGTGTCACCTGAAACCCCAAGTACTATCCCTTCTGGATGCGGCCAGATTAGTTGCAGAAGAACTTCTCATTTGGTGTCTTCCAAGATTTGTTGTGGAATTACAACTTCCACTTCAGAAAGACTTAAATTCCTAGTTTAATCCTGCCCAGGAAGAAGAGGCACCCAAACTGGGTGTGGTGGTGCACAGCAGTGCTGGGAGGCTAAGGCAGGAGCAGTACATGACTTTGGGGCCAGCCTGGGCTACATGTAAGTTCAAGGGCAGCCTTAACTACGTGGCAAAACCTTGTTTCAATTTTTTTTTTTAAGATGAGAGACCTTGACCTCACCTTCTCTTCCTCAGTCACTACAGGGCCTTTACCCAAGGCCACTCCGGCTGGAGGGGACAGCTGGCGACTCTGAAGTTTCTGATGGCAGTGCTTAGGAGAAGAGGAGATATGGGGTGTTTAGATCAGACAACGTGTTAAACGTAGTTAGGCTCTGCCAGCCAAACCAGGAGCACTTTTGGTGGCATCAGGTTGGAAAAGAAACGAGGTGTCCCTACACTACAAGAAGTTGACAAACCCAGAGCCTGTGTCTCCAGTCCTCAAACACTCAAACTTGGCTCTCCTGCCTCATAAGCTTTACCTCAGGGAAAGAGTCAGGGGTTCACTCGTCACCCAGCCAAGGGGTCGCCGAAATACCATGCAGAACAGTAAAGTTGGAGACACTCTGGATTCGCAGTGTGAAAATAGTTGCAGCAACTATTCCATGCCATTAAACATGCAGCCATTAAGAGTAGTGAAGTAGTTATTGACATGTCACGATATTTGTGGTGTAAAAGAGCTTGTTACAAAAATTCTTTGCTCCTGTTTTTGTTTTAAAGATTAGCACAGTGTACGTGGAAGCTGAGCGAGGGGTGCAAGGCTTCCCCTTGGCTGGTCTTGCCTGCTAAAAGAGGGCAGTGATGTCCTCAGATGCCTGCACCCCTCTGCCTCCACATAGACCAGAGTCCCTGGACAGACCCATTTGGGCTCTTTCAGAACTTTCATCACACAGGGTTATATTTGCAAAATAGCTAAAAACAAAAGAATAAAAGTGAAACCTTTTTTTTCTAAAATACGTGTTGTTTAACTTAAAGACCAAAGACAAAATTTAATTTTAAAATCTTGCCTTACCCAGTTCCAAAAAAGGGTATGTTTCCAAATGGACACAGACCACTGTGAGGACAGGCAAGGAGCCATCTGCCTCCATTGGTACAGGCAGCGTCTGTCTAGCCCTGGGCACCTGGGGAGGGTTTTCCAGTTTGAAGACTTGCCTGAAAATTAGTCATGCTGTGGTTGGTGCACAGACATTTCTTTACTTGTCCACACTTTCTGGTCAAGAGGAAATACATGGTTGTTTATTATTTTTTTTTTTTTAAGTTTATTTATTTATTGTGTGTGTGTGTGTGTGTGTGTGTGTGTGTGGCCAGCTCAGCCCACCAGGGGGCGCGGCTGGCTGGCATGTGGTGCTGGGGATCGAACCGCAGTCCCTGTGCTTTGCCAAGTTTGTTCCAAGTAGGTGCTTTAGACCACTGAGCCATCTCGCCAGCCCCATGGTTGTTTAAATGAGTGGGAAATGTGACTTAAATTTTACAAATGTGTTTATTCTGTTTCCCAGAAGCTCTAAAAGTGAAGAGGCCGCGTTTCGATGTATCGCTAGTGTATTTAACTCGGAGATTTATGGATCTAGTCAGATCCGCCCCTGGGGGCATCCTGGACTTAAACAGGGTCGCGAGCAAGCTGGGCGTGCGGAAGCGCAGGGTGTACGACATCACCAACGTCCTGGACGGCATCGCCCTGGTTGAGAAGAAATCCAAGAACCACATCCGGTGGATGTGAGTTGGCGTCCAGCAGCTCCTCCTTTCCTGTTTCCATTGTTACGTGATAGTTCTGTTCTTAGACCAAGCCAGACATTAATCATGACTGGCAGAACAAAATAAAATCAGGTGTGATTCCCACTAGGAAAAGAGCCTGTAAGATTTTCTTACCTTGTCCCACAAAGGACTTGATTTTTTTTTTTTTTTTTTAAATAGGTTTGAATAGGAGGCATAGACGTAGAAAGTTTTTCCATATTTCAGTTCCTAGCAGGGGAGTCTGTAAGCCTGAGAAGGTGGGTGGGCCAGGTGGGAGCCTGCACTCCACCTGCTAGGACCAAAGTGTATGGGAGCTCTGGGGCTCCCCTGGCACCCTGCTTCCTCGGGGGCTGCTCATACTGCGTTCTGAGTCACTAATGAGAACTAGATCTGAAGTTACAGTGTCATGGCAGACACCTGTAATCCCAGCACTCAGGAGGCTGAGACAGGAGGATTGCTGCAAGTTCGAGGCCAGCCTGGACTGCATATTGAGACTGTCTCAAAAAAAAAAAGACTGAAAGGGTGCAATGCGTGTCAGTTGTTGCTCAGTCTTACCTTACTGGAGTAGTCATTAGTGACTGAAGAAGATACATCTGAGAATAATGAGCCAGGAAGGTGGCACATACCTGTCATCCCAGCACTCAGGAGGTTGAGGCAGGAGGAGCACCACGAGTTCAAGGCCAGCCTGGGCTACATAGCAAGACCCTGTTTCAGAAAAATCAAAAGAAAAATGAAAGAATAGTGAATATAACATTCTATGCGGAGAGAACGTGCACTGTGTGAGAGACTACAGGCCCGCAGCGTGCTAGCAGAGGTGCTGTCAATTGCGCGGTGCTCCTTGTCACCTGGGCATAACTGCAGCTCCTCAGTGTCCCCCAGCCGCTGCTCAGGGCGGGTTTTGTCTTCCGCAGAGGATCCGATCTCAACAGCTTCACGGCGGTGCCCGAGCAGAAGAAGCTGCAGCAGGAGCTGTCTGACTTGTCTGCCATGGAGGACGCTTTGGATGAGCTGATTAAGGACTGTGCCCAGCAGCTATTCGAGTTAACAGATGACAAAGAGAACGAAAGATATCCTTTAAGTTTGTACGTGTGTATGTCTGTGGCTGGCTGGCTGTTGAAGCAGCGTCGCACTATCTAGCCCAGGCTGGCCTTGAGGTCATGGCAATCCACCTGCCTGAGCCTCCCAAGTGCTGGGAGGACAGGTATGCATCACCATGCCTGGTAAATCCAGCTTGGGGATTTAGTCTATGTAGTCATATAGCATTAGACTTTAAATGAAGGTCTAACTCCTTCTAAGTGAAGTCTTGTGGTCCAGCCAACAAATAACATGTTGGTGTTTTTTGCTGTGATGGGCCTTAGGATCATATTCTGTGTTAAACATGCATCAGGCACTGACCCCAGATGGTCTTTCCCTTTAGAACAGCAGGGTCTATCGTACTCTTCAGACTGTAAGGACAGTGAAAGATTTTTTTTTTGGCAACCTGAAGATGCCTTGAGGGCATTTCTCGTTTCCTGTGAGAAACTGAGTTCAAACCACAGCATCTTGAGCCTGACTGCTTTTTGTAAGGACGGTGAGAATAACAATAGTGAAATACTTGTGAGTTTGGAGAAAATCATTTTTTTCCTAGTCTGTGAACCAGAGAGTATTTCTGAAGCAGTAAGAATTGCCATGACCTAAGCTGATCCTGCTCCCAATCCAGTGTTCAGGGATCGTGGGACCCCAGTCCTGAGCCAGCCTTCTCTCTCCAGGCCCAGCTTTTGCCCTGGAAAAAAGAAGCAGCAGGTGCTCCTACGTTTTGAGACCAAGTGGCTACTGGTGCACACTGCTTTTCCTGTCAGGTTTTCTGGAGAATAGGCGGGAAGAGATATCACCTTTATCTGTGACCTTAGCCTGCCTTGCCTGGTTGGCCTTGCTGACTGCAGTGGTAAACCCAGAGTGACTGCGTTCATATTAGGGTTCTGCCAAACTCTGCTGGCTGCTGCCAACTCCACGCTGCCCAGTGCTCCAGGCATCCCCTTGCTGGGCAGTGCAGCGTGTCACACAGTGCAGTGAGCAGAAAGCAAACTAGTCCACGTGCCTGTCCCTGCAGTGGGCAGAGAGTGTGTAGTACAGAGAGAGTGCTAGTGGTCCTTGCTCATAACCCCAGCATCCCCAGAGGCCAAAGCTCTCAAATCCGAGCCCAGCTGGGCAGTTTAGCTACTTAGTAAGGCCCAGTCTCCAAGTAGAAAGGGCTGGAATGGAACTCAGTGCATAGGTCCTGGGTTCAGCCCCCACTACAAATCAGATCATGAGTAAAGTTTCAGGCAGCTCAAGCAAAGTAACAAGCATTCAGATCATGAGGTAGAAAGTCATTTTAGAGAAGGGAAATCCATGCATGATGAGAGTCCTAAGAAATCTGTTCTCTAAGTTATCCCTACTTTTTATAAATTAAAGAAATGATAGGCTTATCAAACCCCAAATATTTTTTCTTCTTGAAGTTTTTACAGCAGGATCTAACCCTGAACAGGCAGAGATAGGATTTGAACAAGCCATCTGTCTTTTTGGGAGGTTTTGCTTTCTGCGGTTCACTTGCCTACAGTGTATTATGGTCCAGGTATATCAAGTGGGAAATCCCAGAAGTGAACACTCATGAGTTTTAAGTAACTCCTACCATGTGCAGCGTGTCGTCATGAGTGTTTTATCCTTCTTGCTGAGCCCCACTGTACCTGTGTCTGAGTTAGAACTGTGGGATGTGTGGGGCCAGGGAGATGGCTCAGTGGAGTGGGTGCTTCCCTGGCAAGCGCAAGGGTCCACGTTCAATCCCTGGTTCCGCCACAAAAAAATAAAAAATTAAAAAAAAAAAAAAACTGTGGGATGTGTCCATGGTGTGGTGGGAAAACAGCTTGTCTGCTCCAGCCATGTCCTCTGCTTCTGGCACCCATGGAGGGCCTTGGGACAGGGCCCTAGGATGAGGAGTATGTTTGGGCACTCAGATTCTGTTAGCACTTTTCTCTAGAAATGGTTACCATAGTGACAGTAATGAATATGAAATAGCAGGAGTTACCTAGGAAGGAATTTGTTTCACCAGCTGCACTCCTGACTCAGGAGTTTATGAAAGCAAAAGCTGCTGCAGAGCCTGGGTTCTCTTTCTGAGCCCCCAAACCCCACTTCGATCCTTGACTGGGCCCCACACTGGCATACGTCACCTACCAGGACATCCACAGCATCCGAGCCTTCCATGAGCAGATCGTCATCGCAGTGAAGGCCCCAGAGGAGACCAGACTGGACGTCCCAGCACCTAGAGAGGTGAGTGACCCCATGTGTCCCAGGGGTGGCTGTGAGCCCATGGCTTGCTGCAGTCAGCTGAGTGGCCGTTGCAATCTTGTTAGCAGTGCAGCTACCCTATGCAACTCACTGTGACAACAACGCACAAGGATGATGGCCTTGCCTTCCAAGGTGACACAGTGCCCAGCAACCAGAACAAGTCACCTCTGCCTGGCAGCACTCAAAGGGTGGTCCTACTGGCCCTTGGCCATGCTTTTCATTTTGTTTGAGCTGTCCCCAGGTATGCTCCGCAGGAGACACTGGCTGCAGAGGGTCAGACTCTAGGAGGAAGGGGTAGGGGACAGGCCAAAACCAGGGCCACGTTACTCTGTGTTGCCTAACAGTGGTTGGAAGGTGTGGCATCCTCTCCTGCCCCTGCCTGGGGTCAGGGTGCAGTAAAGGTGATGTATGGCTCAGTTGGGGGCCCTTGGGGTGCCTTCTCTTTAGTTATCTTTTTCCTGAAGTACTAAGGATTAAACCCAAGGTTTTTGCACATGTCAGGCAAGTGCCATACCACCAAGCTGTGCCCCAAACTCTTTGTAAGTTGTATTTTGAGATGAGGTCTCGCTAAATTGCACAGGCTGGCCTTGAGCTCAAGGTTTTCCTGGTTCAGCCTCCACAGAGCTGATGCTACAGATGTGTAGTGCTGTACTGGGTTCTAAGATGCCAGCACTCTGGTGACACAGAAGGGGCCAGACTACTGGGTGGGGCGACTGTTCTGCTTTCTCCTGGGAGCAGCTTCATGGTCATTCCTGGGTGGATTGGAAGTAAGAACTGTGAGGCTCCAGCCAGTGAGTCACCAGCCTTACTCCTGTCTGCACATGGGGCCTGGCCTCTTGGTTCTTCCCCCTGGAGACAAGGCCTAAAGTGGGCCCTCTGTGAGCCTGGGAAGCTGCTTCCTTCTTGAGCAGAGAGCGCCGGGCTAACTGCTCCACTAACGTCCCTGCCAGGACGCCATCACTGTGCACATCCGGAGCACCAAGGGGCCCATCGACGTGTACCTGTGCGAGGTGGAGCAGAGCCGCTCAGCCAAGAGTGCACACCCCGTGCATCTGCAGAAAGGTGACTGTGAGGGAGGCATGGTGAGGGTGTGTGGATGGCAGGTGGCTCTGAGGCATCGTGGGCTTTCTGTCCATGAGGAAGATCAGACCCCACAGCTGCCCTCCCCAAGGTGGGCCTGAGTGAACACAGCATGTGTCCCACATGGCAGTTGTGGGGGCTCTGCGTTTCTTCCAGGCTTCAGGCCTCAGTCGTGGTCTCTGAGTATTGCTGCAAGACTAAGGGGAGCACGGAGTTCTGTGGGGTCGTCCCATTGCCGAGGTGTACAGCGTCACACAGATCTCTTCCCCCATCCACAGAGGAGCCTCCACAGAGTGAGGAGATGCTGGAGGTGAGCAGCTGAGCTGATGGCCGCAGCCATGGCTCCCGAGCAGCCAGCGGACGGAGTTGAACACTTGCAGTAATGACCCCATGGAGTGGACCGGAGAGCTGCCTATCTTAGCCCAGCAGTCAGAACCATAGTGGCTTTGAGTGGCTCCCCCTCAGGCTGCTGGAAGATGGTGGTTTGTACCTCAGGAAACAGCTCTCCAGTGACTCAACTCACCGCTTTCTGTGAGGGCCTGGGGACAGGCAGGGCCTTATGTCCTCCTGGCACCAATGCAGGAGGAGTTGCCTTATGTTGGATTACCCCAGCAGTTGTGGGTGCTGGCTGGTGTGTGCCTGGACCAGTGCTGTGTCTGTACATAACTGTATCATGTTTAACTTCCTGTGAGTGCGTTCCTGGACAGTGGCTGCAGGCACTGTGTCCTTGGCTCTAATTTATTACACTCTTAGGCGAGGTCCCCACATGTCTGTGTGTGCAAGGACCACAGCTCAGCTTCTGGGAGCTGCTGTGGGAGCTGTCATTCCTGTGTCCCCCATGGGTGTGGCCACAGGCCTTCAGGACCAGGACATCAATGCCATCAGTGATGGTTGACCCTGTCATGGTGATATTGGAGCCTGGTGTATACTTTCTGCAGGCAGAAGGGGTCAAACGTCTCTGTCTGGCCCTCTTCTGTCAGGCTCTGCGCCCTCAGCTGTCCCCGCCCTCCTTCAGTGCTGGTCCCCACTCCGAGCACCTCTGCTCTACCTCAGCGGTAAGTCATTTACCACCCGTGCCTCAGTTTACTCAGTAGTTACCATTAGACTGTGAGCTCCTTGAGGGACTGTTGTCACTGTCACCTAGCGCCTTGCGTCGTGCCTGTCCTGTCAAAGTGAACACTAAAAACCTGGCAGATGAGAGTGTGGTGACTGTAGTGTGGGCGGTAGAGTCTAGCTCGTCTGTCAAGCAGGATTCCTGTGAGCATCATTGATTCATGTTAAATCTCTTGGTTTCAGAGAAAGGTTTGATCATGTATAAAAAGTTTCAAAATAAAGATCTAAAATTACAAAGCCGTGTGGAAATAGCTCAGGGAAGCTGCAGGGGGCGCTGTTGGCCAGCATTGGGTAGCAGGTCATGGGTCCCTGACAAGATATGTAAGCTGGGGCAGAGAGAGAGGAGCAGAAGGACCGTGGAGGAGCAGAACCAGGGCCAGTGCTTCCCAAACTCAGGGAGGAGCTGCCAAAAGTGATGCCTCAGACAGATGAGCAGAGGAGGGTCTGTCTTCTGGTGTCAGGCTCTTCCTAGGACTGGTAAGTTGCTTGTCTTGTAGGTTCACACCCTTGCTCCTTCCCCCATGGTTGCAGGAGGCTTTGATGGACAGCGGTGCATGCTATGACAGGTCCTTCCCACCCACCGCTGTATGCACTTGACGCTTGGTCACTTTCCAACAGCGCTCTACATAGGAGACTGGGGTGCACTAGGTCCATACCTTGACCATTTCCATTCCCAGGGTGACTCAGCCCAGGGGCTGAGGAACTGCAGCTGACCTGCCTGGCTTCAGTGGAGCCACTCTGACTGGGCTCGTTTCAGGGAGGAGCGCAGGGAGCCAGTGCCCAGCAGGCTGCCGAGCACTGCTGCGATAAGGAAGCTAGTGCCCAGCCCCCCTCACACCCTTCTCTGCTCCAACATCGGCACTGATGCCAACTCTGGAGCAGGACCCCAGAGCCAGCGTCACCAGCCAGCTGTGAGTAAATACACGTGCACACCTGCATCTCTGCGTACTCCACCATCCATGATGACTAGGAGCCCCTGGTTCCCAAGGAGATAACACCACTCTGGGTCTAGGGAGCCTGTGCCAAGCCAGTGCTGTCTGCTCAAAGCCCTTTGGTGCATTAGAACTCTGTACCCTGGAAGCACGGGGCAACTCACAGGCCTTGCCAAAGGCCAGACGGGCAGCACAGCCTCACATCAGACAAGTGCTGGACAAAGCCACGGGGGTCTGAGGCAGGAGGACCACGAGGGTAAGAGCTTGCCAAGTTACAGACCCTCAGAGATAACTCTGGGAAGACCCCAAGTGCTATTAAATAAAAACTTAAATGACTTAATCTGTTTGTTCATACCAGTGTGGTAAGATTGTAATGCAAACTTGTGTGATGATTGTCATATAATGAAGGATGGACATTTGGCACCAATTTTCTTTTTCTTAGTATCACAAATCAAATTCAGGACCTCATACTTGCCAGGTAGGAGCTGTGACGCTGAGTTATAGCCCCAGCCCTCGATTTGTTTTTAATTAAGTAAATACTGCTAACAACCCCAGCCTGAGCAGCTTCGTGACAGTGAGACCCCATCTCAAATAGAAAGGGCTGGGGGTGCAGCTCAGCGTTGAGGCTCTGGGTTCAATCCTCAGTGCAGCCAAATAATTGTAAGGCCATGGGATTTGCAACTATAGAATTCCTCCAGCTCAAGCTGCGTCCTGGGGAGACTGGTTTGCAGACAGCTGTAGGTTTGGGGCAGACATGATCTATTGGGTCACTCCAAGGCCATGTGATACGCGAGGTGGCGGGGGCAAGCCCAGGGCCTTAATTCTCCGAGGGTCTTCCCAAGTGGAGGAACTCTTTAAATCTCATGTTGATACTCAGCTAGGGAACTTGATTTAGGATATTTTAAGTAGAGTCGCCAAAAATAGTCTGCCACACTGAATTCAGGAAGTCATCATTAGTGCTTGAAATAGCACTTCTTTACGTATTTATACTTCACTGTGTATCAGGTTAGATTTCTAGCATCTTAGGAAAATATGTGTACCATGCTTTAAAAAGGAAGCTGGATGTGTTGGTGCCTATCTCTACCCCAAGCCTCTGGGAGGCTGAGGCAGAAAGATCCTAAGGTGAAGATGAGCCTGAGCAATTTAGCAACTTAGTGAGGCTCTGTCTCAAAGTATAAATGAATGAATGAGAATATATAGCTGTTGTGGAAGTGTTGGGTTCAATCCTTGGCACCACCTAAAAAAGAAAAAGTTGCAGAAATTGCGGCCAGATGGCCAGAGTCAGGCATGGTGCCACATGCCGCTGGAAGCACAGGTGGAAACCAGCATGAGCCAAGGGAGAGTTTAGCCCGAGTACCGAGCTGGCCTGGCTGTATCATTTAGCTCCTCTGAGTTTCAGAAGAGCCCAGCTCACGCTTGACATCAGTGCTGAGCCTGCCAGCAGCCCCCGTGGCCGATACTGCTCAGAGGTGTCCTGCTTGTTGTTGGTTGTTTTTTAAGTCAAGGACTGGCTATTCGGGCTGGCCTTGAACTCACTTTGTAGCTCAGGCTGGCCTCCAATTCACAGCCATCCTGCCTTGCTTCCTGTGTGCTGGGCTTATGGGCATGTGCAGTATGCCCAACTTCTAAATTTTTAAAAATTTTATGTGACAGTGTTTGCAGAGCATGATTACTATACATTTGTGTGGGGAGTGGATTCCTGTACATGTCTTAATTCTTAGGTCTCCTCTTCCTTATCCCTCCCCATCAGTGACTTTAAAATACAGGTAGGGAGGTGCCCAGCTATAATCACAGCAGCTTGGGAGACTGAGGTAGAATATTCAGAAGTTTATTTATTTTTTACATATTTAGTTGTTGCAGCTTGGATTTACACTGATCCTCCTGCTTTCAGCCTCCCCAGTGCTGGGATTACAGGCATGTGGCACCATGCCCAACTCTGGCCATCTCAGCCTGCCTTGGGGGTGGGGCTGGTGCAGCATGAGGTGCTGGGAATCAAGCTGCGGTCCCTGCACTTACCTAAGCAGGTGCTTTAGTCCATTGAGCTGTCTTGCTGGCCCCAGTCAAAAGTTTAAACCCAGCCTGGGCAACTTAATGACACTGTCACAAAGTAAGAATGTGTGTGCATGTACCAGTTCCCCCACAAAAAGCACATTCATTGCATATTGTAAACCTATACTAATAATGTTTATTTTGGGGGGGCATTTTGGGCTTACAGAAAAATGATACTAAACATACAGAGTTGCCATTGTACCTCCTACTTCCTAAGCAGTTTCCTCTTAGGATCTTTTGGTTTGGGTTTTGGTGTTGGTCCTGGAGGTTGAAACCAGGGCCTTTGTGCTGGGCTACATCCACAATCCCTTCATTTTTTTCTTTTTTGTGACAGGGTCTCT